CAACGGTACAAGGGAAGAATGCGTTCGGACCAGAATGACAGTATCAAAGTCTATAATTCCGGGGGTTCAAAACACACTGCCCTATCTCTACGACTAGGAACGGTATTTAAGGTAGTCAATACGATAGACGTCGGAGAGACTCGGGAACTAGAATAAATGAGATAGCAAACGGGTGGTAAGGTACTCCTGGTGAAAGGTAACAAATAAGTGGTCATGTTTCGAAACAATATCTAAAGGGGCGATGTGGTGCATTGCCACTGTTACACTATCATATAGCTGGCCCAGGACACACATAGGATCCTGCTACAGGAACAAAAACATAGAAAATCGCATTTTTGACACTTTGATGTTTTTTAGTCCCTTACACTTGCATAAATAATACAACCTGTTCATATATCATTATCATAGTATATATACTTGCTTTTTGTGACAAGGATCAGCTCAAAATAGGCCAGAGGTTTGAGTTAGTGTGAATACTTGCTATTTCTACTGATAAGGATCCCATACTTTCAATACATCGAAATTTAATAATCAGACACCTGGAGTAGATTTCAAATATACTCAGTATCATAGTCCTAAATGTACAGAACAATCCTACAAGAATTGAGTGCTGAGGAAGTGAAATAGATAAGAAATTGAGTGTGGGAAAGTTCAAAGACCCAAAACATCGAAAATGGTCAGTTGAGCAATGGATGACTTCCCGCAGTGTTTAGAAATCTAGATATCGTTTCAAATCTTATTCGTCGGAGATTCGGCTCGCAGTACAACATAATCTAGAACTGATTCCAAACCGCAGACCAATCATATCTAGATTCTAGATACATAATTATAATTTTTAAACCTACACATGAACGACGACGAAGCTGATCTGCACCAGCTATATCACATGATTGAGCTCATGGAGGATGAGAGAGATGATGAAGATGAATTCCGAAGGCACAGGATAGCTGTACTTGGTGCAGTGATTTTTTCAGGAGCCGAAGAATCACGACGTGAACGTCTCGCACGCCGACAAGCAAGAAGAACGTACCTCATTCGAGGTGACCTACTTCCCAATCCCCGTGCCAATACTCCCTGGCAAGCTCTATACATGGCTCGTAATGATCGAGCTTTCATCACAACCATGGGGGTTGATGTGTCGACATTCAATCACCTCCTCTCAGCTGGCTTCACAACCATTTGGAACACCACACCCATTCCCCGTGATGACATCCCCACTACTGCTGTTCCTCGAGCCCATCGTCGTTCACTTGATTCTGCAGGGGCCTTGGGCCTTGTCCTTCACTGGCTTAATTCCACCATGCGAGAAGTCAGCCTGATGCAAATTTTCGCGTTAATCCCAAGCACAGTCTCACGCTATCTGAATTTTGCACTCACAATACTCCTTCGCACACTCAAACACATTCCCGAAGGCATCATCCAGTGGCCTGCGGGTGACAAATTCCAAGAGCTGAATTATCTTGTTACTGCACGTCACCCGTTATTGACCGGCGCTTTCGGAACACTCGACGGACTTAATTTACCAGTGCAGACTTCGAGTGACCAAGAGATCGAGAATGCCACCTATAATGGTTGGCTGCATGATCACTTTGTAAGCTCTGTCATTGCATTCGCAGCTGATGGTCAGTCCAAGTCCTCGTTGTTATCAGTTCGTTCCTACTCATTAGTTAATGCAGGCAGTATTATTCAATGTCGACTCAATGCCCCAGGGAGCTGGCATGACTCACGTGTTGCACAGCCAATTTACGAAAAACTTCGCAAGGAGACACCAGCTGGATATTACCTTGTGGCAGATACTGCCTTCCCTCGTGGAACTGATCAGATTGCCGGTCGGATTAAAGCCCCCATCAAGGCAGGGCAGCGCCTCCCATCAAATGAAATTGAAAGGGGGAACCTGCTAGCCTTTGATCGACAACTCCTGTCATTTCGTCAGACGGCCGAATGGGGCATGCGCACACTTCAAGGTTCATTTGGACGACTTCGAATCCCTCTCGATATCAATCATTCTGAGCAACGACAAGACTTGCTCGAGGCATGTGTCCGTCTGAACAATCTTCGTGCTCAGAAAGTCGGCATAAGCCAAATTCGTTCGGTATACATGCCTATCTGGGTTCAAAATGAGCAGGAGGAAGTATGGGCACATTTTGAAAGCATGTTGTTCTCCGAACAACGTCGAAATGATAGGGTTGCACGATTCCATCATATGTGACAAGTAGAACTAAGTGGGGATTTATTTTGCACATGTACTTCGAAATTTCGTAACTAATCTATCTCATTGGGACCTTTGGATTCCCTACCATGACTGGGAGATATGGTAATTGATGTTGGTGTGAATGAGACATCGAGACGTGCAGAGGATGGGCCACTGGCAGGGGTAGCTGAAGCACGAGGTGTAGCAGATGTACGAGGGGTCATCGGGACTCGGGGAACAATGGCACGAGTGTAACGACCCACACGCTGGTCCTCAACAATGTCACGTCGTGAGACCACATCATGGTCATCAAGGCCAAAGTCATCTCCAGCCTCGTCAGGTGTGACCCAGATTGTCGAGCGGCCTCCATCTCTATAGATTGTCTCACGACGAACACGTTCTTGCTGCTGGTGCCCACTACGAGAGTCCTGCATGAACTTGGCCATTTCAAGCTGCATCTCGAGACGGTCTGCACGACGTTCAGCATTAGCACGTTCACGTTCGACTTGTGCAAGCTGGCCATGAAGTTTATTGACGGTGGCGTGTGCATCACGGAGCTGAGTGGTCAGCGACATGACCTGTGTAGATTGAATGGCGCGTGCTGAACGATCTTCGTCTCGGACGGCCTGAAGGCGAGGGTCGAGAGAAGCAGATATAGTTGCCAGAAGGTCAACCCCTGCACTTCGTGATGTGCGAGGGGGACGGTGTGGGAGAAATCGTAGAAGTCCGCTATAGTGATAGCGTACCGATCCTGCTGGGTGCGAGAATAGTAATCGACCCAAGGGGATAGCTCGGAGAGCAGTTCCTCAAGTATGAGCGAGGGGAACAGTGAAGGAGGAAGTGATGCGCTGGAGACAGAACAGCTGCTTGCGGGAGGATGCGTAGAAGGGTGCGGATGCGCGGGGATGCGGAGTATGCGGATGCGAAGTCTAGGGAATACCAGGTATGCGAGACAGGGAAGGTACCAGGTATCAGGACAGGTAAACAGGTAAAACGAGTAAGGTACCAGGTATATGCAGGACGCAACGGGACTGTCTTGCGAGTGAACTCAACTGAGTCTAGCAATAGCCAACTGTCGATGACGATGCGAGCGTTCGCACGGGATGAGAGGGCAAACAGATAATTGCTCAAGCAAGGAAAGACAAGGTAAGACTAAGCTAGTGACTCCGCAACACACAACCAGAGAGGGAATGTAGGAAAGTGCCGTCCATACGAGTCTGCGACGTAGTATATAACAGAGTCCGTAAGAAACCGGAACCGTATAAGCAGGCGCATATGTACGCGAAGTCGGAGGGAGATAATATGTAAGTAGCACTATGCGACCTCGTGCATGGGAACTGATATGTAACTGGTCCTGCGAACGGTTAGGAATGACTAACTAAGGATGAGAACGCACCAGTGAGGACGGACGGATGCAGACAGGACATGGACGGATAGTGCGTTGCGATGCGATGAGTGCATGGATTCCGCAACCTCGTGTGATGGTCCGCAACGGCCTGTGGAAGGTATGCGTGACTTCGTCCAGTAAGGGGAAATGGTGCTGTACGGGGCTGCAGCCAGATCGTCTCCTACACCTGCGGGAGACTCAAACACTGACCATCCCTGGTCAGCAGCATGCGTGGAATGTGGACTTAGCAAGGGACGTCCACGGATAAGTCACGTGACCGGGTGTGTCGGAACGGTAAATGAAAAGAATGCGGATGCCGGTGATCGGAGTTGCGGACTTTGGTGCTTCGACCCGGAACAAGGGTTCCGTTGTTAACACGTTGCGCACGCGGTTTTCTCGTTCCCTATAACCATCTTCCTTTCCATTTTTCTTTCTCTTTCTTCCCATCCTCTACCATGCCTCCCTTCGTCTTCATCAACAAACCTCCAGTGGATGACGAGTCTGCACGTTTGCGGAAGGAATTCGCGTCCCTTGTTGCGAAGTTGGACGTGACTATGAAGGTCGTTCCGGACGATCAACCAGAGTTGATGGAGGAGAAGCGGGATTGGAATAGGCAATGGGATGAGTTGTCCGTGAGTACCTGTTGCTTTCCTTATTGATTCGCATTGACTGGCGCGTAGGCTTCGTTTAGCACATGCTTTGCTGCCGCGCAGAAGCGTGGGCTACAGTTCTCATTGTCCGCAGCCGATACCGCCTTGGTCAAGAGCGGGAATCTGACATACGCAATGCACGAGTGTCAGTTGACCGAGAAGATGCAGGACGACCAGGAGAAGATGGATGTGGTTTTGGGCAACGCTAGTGCTGGTGAGGAGGATGCGGATGGAGAGCCTGAGGTTGCGAGTACCAAGGTAGCGACTTCTACCAAGCGTCCACGTAAGGCGGCTGGTAAGGGAGCTGGGAAGACGAAGAAATCTCCAGAGGTAGTTCCGTCTGAGGCCGATGAGCCGCAGGAACCAGTACGTCGTTGTTCAGTGTCTTGCGCAACGGAGATGCGTTTGGCTGACGATGCGAGTTGCAGAAGCTTGGTGGTCGTGCGATCGCCCCAGGACCTAAGGTCGACCACGTTCTTCCCTGTGCCAATTGCAGGAAGCGTGACAAGCTTTGCAGTGGTTCGCGGGGCCAGCAGTGTGATCCTTGCAAGGTTGCGAGGACCAAGTGCGAGTACTCGTCTTTCGGAAAAGCGTCTGCGAAAAAGGGTCCCTCTGTTGCGTCGACGCCTCCGGTGGCTAGTGGATCTCATTTGTCCGCACCTGGCCCTATCCGGCGTACCGTTTCTTCTCCGGAACGTCAAGTGTGGGATCCGATCGAGGTATCTGATGGTGAGATGGGGAGTACTGCTAGGCGTCGTTCAGTTGCGACTGGGAAGGGGAAGAAGATAGCAGTGGAGGATGATGTTGAGGATGCGGAGGACCTGGAGGAGTTGCATGAGATGCGCCAGGTGCGTGCAAAGCTCATGCAAGCGTATAGCATGATCTTCGAGGCCACCCTCGCACTTGACAAGAGGGAAGCGCGCATCCTTAAGAAGCGTGCCGCTCGCAAGTAGATACCTATCTCAACCTGTTTTTCCATCGCATCCTGTTTGTACAAATAGAGGTGATCCTGGTGTCCGGTCCAATCCATATCCATGTCTGTCCGGGTCCCCACTGAATGCCTAATTAACAAGAAAAAATGGTAAGTGCGTGAATACGGTGCTATTTCGAATGAGAGTCAAGAATTTGAGAACGTGTCTTGTGCGTGCGGAGTACCGTCCGTCTTATCTTCGTCGTGCAACTGCCTTCCTCTGTACCAATCCTGTGCCCTGGTTGCGGTGAGTATATGGTGTGAACTTTATATGAGTCAATGTGCGTGATGCGATAGCCGCGTGCGAATGAGAAAGAGTATCCGTTGGTTGCGCATCTAGTCCAATCCTTTCTGTCCTTATATGTATGTAAATGAGTCTGTGTGCGTTGAGTGCGATGTTTCTGAATTAGTTGCGGGGGTGGTTATATGGTAAGAGAGCACCGGACGAAACCCGGGGTAGGAATGCATACTATATTGTTTTGATATATTCTGAGACGAAGCGAATGTGTGTTGAGTGATGAGGTTGAATGATTGCGGGGGGGGGAAACGAGTGTGTGTAACAAGTGTCGAGTGAAAGGAATGTGGGGTTCTTATGCATCTGGGTCAGCGTCTTCATTGTCCGGTTCTTCCATCTCCTCTTCTGCGAGATCATCCAGGTTCTCGTCGTCGATCCCCGTGATACTGGTTACTGATACGCGGGTGTCGCTGCGAGGGTGATACGGAAGGAGGCGATATGCTGCGTAACGGAGTTTGGAGACGGAACCATCCAACTCAGCTAACAGGTACGATCCTCCCTTGGTCCGACGGAGGACGATCATGGGCCCGAGGTACCTGGGCTTTGTCTTCCGGTTGAGCTCGTACTCAGTCTTCGAATTGCGAACCAACACCAGGCTTCCTGGTTCGAAGTCGTAATCGCGGATACGGTTGCGGAACCGCTCCTCGAATTCGCGAACTGACTGATAACGCGCTTTCAATACCTTATCCTTGATTGCGTCTAAGTCTTCCTGTCGCTTCTGCAGTTGACGTGCGCGCCATGCGATGAAATCTGCAGGGGTAAATGTGTCAAGTCCGGGTAAGGGTACCAGGAATGTTGCTTCTGCAAGATCAAAAGGGAAGATAGGTTCGCAACCATGTACCATAAAATACGGAGATAGTCCAGTTGACTTTTGAATCGTTACCCGTTCCGCCCAGAACACTGTGTGTGCTGCCTTGGGCCATTGAGAGACATCTCCTTCGCAACTTTTCATGATGGCCTCCCGGACATCCCAGTGACGACGTTCCACTATACCGTTTGCCTGCGAATTATACGGTGATATGCGAATAGGGTGTATTCCGTACTTGAGTGCGAGTGCGTCGACGGCCCTGCGGAATTGTGGTGCATTGTCAGTGACGATCTCCGTGATTGGGCCCCATCTGCATAACAGTTCTTCGAATATGAATGCGGACAGTGACTTGGTGTTCTCATTGCGAAGCATGCGCCATTCCGGGTACCCAGTGAGCGCGCAGCGTGCATGGACAATGCGGTCGAACCCTCCTGATTTTGGCATGAGCATTGTGTCGATATGCGCCTTCCTGAATATACCGCCTGGAATAGGAACGGTTGGCGGAATGTGCAACTTGCGAGCCTGTCTGATCTGACACTCGTGGCAGGTCTTGTTATACCACTTGATATCGTCAATGATCATAGGCCACCAGAAACGCAGAAGAAGACGAGTGCGGATCGTTAATACTCCCTTGTGTCCTAGATCGTCATGTGCTTCCTTCAGGATGCGGTACCTGCGATGCTCTGGTACTACGAGCTGATGTCTCCCATGCGGTTCGCGTTTCCATAGTTTACCTTCGAATATAAAGTACTTGGACGCAGAATTGACGAACGTCGTGTACTCATTGTCCGTCATTCCTTCAGCGCGTTCCTTAGTTTCGAGGAACCTCTGGATGCCGATCATCTTCCTGTCCATAGCTTTCGCATCATCGGAGCGAGGGATCGGTGGTTCGTCTGGTTGTTCCGCAATGGTATCTAGAAATGCTAGAAGGGGGGGTAAGCAGGTTGGCGTTCGTGGTGAGGGCGCGGTGTATGGCAGGTGAGTGAACTCATGATCCGCACTCGCGATGCGAAGGGATCGGGAGTTAAGAATTTCCATACCAAATGAGTACGAACGGTCAAGCCAGTCCTCGTGGTCATCATGTTCTTCTGGATCCTCGTCCGCAGGTGGTCTCCTTGAGAGTCCGTCTACCCCAGCGTGCTTTGAAGCGGGTACATGTACGAGATTAAAGGAAAATAACAAGATACCTGCGATCCATCTATTGATCGTCGCATTTGGTTGCAGATCCGGGTTGTTAATCATGCCTTTGATGTACTTGGCATCTACCTCAACCGTGAGGTTAGTAACTCCAAATATGAAAACGCGGACTGCGCGAAGTGCGCGGAATAATCCGTACAACTCCAGTTTGGCCTGCGAATAGCGACTCTCGACCTCCGTGAGTGATATTGATCCGAAGCGATTTGGGTATCGTTTACCATCGTCCCCGAGTTGCAGGAGAATGAATCCGATTGCAATTGACGAAGTGTCAACTGCAAGGATGACTTCCCTACCGCATTCATAATCGATTTGGCGCAGTGCGGGAGACTCTGCAACTAAGTCCTTGAGGGTTTGCATGGCGATCTGTTCCTCTTCTCCGAATTCAAATGTTGCCTCCTTCCGCGTAAGATTGACGAGTGGCCTTGCGATCTTCGCGAAATTGCGTATGAAGATGCGTAAGACTCCGCAGGTGCCTAGGAATCCTCGCACTTGTGAGACATTGCGGCATTGCGGCCAGTCGCGTATCTTCTGAACCTTGGAATCTTCTGGTACTCTTCCTTCGAATGTGCATTTGTGCCCAACGATGATTGCGGTAGGTGCTGCCAATACGAACTTGGTTGCGGAGACGGTTGCACCTACGTTTTCCAGTCTCTGTAATATTCGGTTGACGACAATGCAATGTTCCCATATGAATCGTCGTATCCCCGGGTTCTCAGGAATCGTTTCATAAGATCCGTCAGATCTCTGGTACCGAGTCCGCACGGATTTGACAGGTACATCGTCAATGAATGGAGACGTGTGGTCTGGGATCTCGTGCTGCAGGATAAATGCGGTATCACCTTGGTATACTTGGACTGCATTTGCGTGACCTTGCGGTAGTGTAGTCAGACGATGCGGACCTAATGGCGTGCCGAAGGTGGTGAGGTCACGAGATTCTTCGTGCAGGGCGCGTTGGTCATACCCCGAGTAAAGGTCCATCATGCCATAGACCGCATACCCGGCAAACGATTCTGCTAGATGTTCGACGAATGGGGGCAAGGATGAGTCTCGTATAGTAACCTTGTTCAACGGTTGCAGGTCGTGGATCAAACGCAGGGATTTCCCATCCTTCTTCGTGACG